CAAAAAAAAAAAAAAAAAAAAAGTGAAATGACCAAAACTGGGTATGCTGACACACATCTGTAATTCCAGCACTCTAGAAGGCTGAGGCAAGAGGATTTCAAGTTTGAGGCCAGCCTGGGTAAATTAGCAAGACCTTGTGTTGGAAAATAAAAATGGGCTAGGGAGTATCTGTGTGAAGGATTTACGTTTAATCCCTAGTACTAGAGAAGGGAATGCAATCATTGAAGAAAACTCATAAAATACAAGGAAGGGTAAAAAAATAAGCTCATTCATAATCCTGTTAAACAGATCTACTTACATTTTGATGTTTAATCTTAAAATGTTTTGTGATTTACATATATTTCAAGTGAGAATATTCATATACCTTTTGCCAAAATATAGAGTTATTGGATATAGCTTAAAACTTATTTTTAAAAAGTAATATGCTGTAGGGCCAGGGATTTAGCTCAGTGGTTCCGCCACCTGTCTCACAAGTGCAGGGACCTAAAAAATAAAAATAAAAAAGGAAGACATTTTTTTAAAAAGCAATATACTGTAAACTTCTACATTTCTAAACAAAGGATACATATAATTTTCAGTGACTTTGCCAGTAATGGTTATGTGAAGATTTGCATATAAGCAGTCTTGTATGGCTCATGATGACCTCAGCCTCCAAACACTTGTGAGCTGGGGCTGGGGCTGCAGCTTTGTGCTGTCAGACGGCACCCTCAGTCCCCGTCATGTTGTGGACGACAAGGGGGCTCCCCATTTCACTGCTGTTGTGAACATCCTGTAAGTCAGTCTTGGTACGAGTTCATGACTATGTCCTTAGTTTCTAGGAGAGGAGTGGCCTCGTTATGTCAGTAAATAAGTTTTTCAAGAGCTTTATTTAAGAAAGACTACTTAGAAATACAATGTGTGTGTGCTGAGTATTGAACCCAGGCCCTTGGTCTGTTGGGCAGGTGTTCTCCTGCAGCTCTGCACTCCCAGCCTTGAAATACAGAATTTCAACAGATTGCTCTATGGTGTATGTTGAAAAAGGTCTGACGTCTTCTTGATGATAAGATGCAAAATCAGAGACTTGTTTTAGTTTCAAAGACAAGTTTTCCTATACAACCAAAAGGTTTAATGCCAGGTGTGGTGGTCTACACCTAAAATATCAACACTTCAGACTGAGGCAGCAAATTTGAGCCCATTGTAAATAATTTAGCAGTTTAGTGAGATCCTGTCTAAAATTTTTTAAAGGGCTGGGTATGAAGGCCTTGGGTTCATTCACCAATACTACAAAAAAAGCAAGAGAGTTTAATTATGTCATGTTATCTAAAAACTTCTGACTGGAGCCAGACATGGTGGCCCATGTCTATAATTCCAGCACTTGGGAGGCTGAGGCTGGAAGATTTTGAGTTTGAGACCTCTCCAACTTAGCAAGACCCTGTTCGGAAAACAAAACAAGAAAGCCCCAACAACTTCTGACTGGGCCAAGCATTCAGTTTATATTAAAGACTTTTCTTAACTGTCTGATATGACAAAGTTAACACATGTAACAAAATTAGTGTTGTCTTTACAGTGTATGCTGATGGTAGCATATGTTTAGATATCCTTCAAAATCGATGGAGTCCAACATACGATGTATCTTCTATCTTAACATCAATTCAGGTAAGTGTGTTAGGTTGTATCGTTTTTCAGATTGTGTGGGATCCATTCAACTCCATTAGGACCAGTGATCAAGCTAAGCTCATTTTCCGAGCACCTAAGGGGCCAGTGGCAAAGCTGAAACAGGCTGTGGTTATAACTTTGTCATGGCAGTCTGGCAGAGTATTTCACAGTTGATCTGAAATAACAGTTTTGGAGGGATGCATTTTGTTTTGGGTTTGGGTTTTTGTTGTTGTTGTTGTTTTTGGTTCCAGGGGTCAAACTCGGGCCCTTGCACTTGTGAGGCAGGTGGCGGTACCACTGAGCTAAATCCCCGGCCCTTGACCAATTTTAAAAGATATTTATATCAGACTTCATTCTGGTCATCTTAAAACCTTTCTATTTCTTTCCCTACTGCTAAATGTAAGTTTTTGTTTGTTGGTTTGTTTTTTTGTAATCAAGAGCACCAAGATTTACCCCTAACTTACCATCATATATTTGCAAAGAGATTAAGGATGGGAGGAGGCTCAGTGGTGGGAACACTTGCCTGGCATTTCTGCGGCTCTAGGACTGATTCCTAGCACCAGAAAAATATGAATAAATTTTAAAAATTGAGTTTACCTTCGGAAAATGCTGGTTTTTAAAGTGTATTAGAACTTAACCAAAGTGAGTTATTTCCTACTTAGTGAGAAAGTCTCAGTATGCTAAAAATACTGTTACTTCTTTGGGAAGGTTCTAGGGATTAAAACCAGGGGCTTCACGGAGCTGTATCACCAGATCTCTTTCCCTTTTCCCTTCCCCTTCTCATGCCCATTTTTTTCTTTACTTCTCTCTCCATTTGTTGAAACAGGGTCTCACTAATTTGCCCAGGCTAGGCTTGAACTTGTCATCCTCCTGCCTCAGCCTTCCAGAGTATTCTCTTCTGATATTACGCAATTGAGAATTACTTGTGGTAGGAGCCTAAGTTCTCTGAAGCAGGAAACCTCTTAGCCATTTCTGAAAGTGTTTACACCTAAAAGTAGATGACATACAAACCTCTGAAATAATTTGTTTTGTGTATAAAGAATAACTCTGCAAGTTTGTTTTTCCTTCTTCCTTTTAGTCTCTGCTGGATGAACCAAATCCGAACAGTCCAGCCAATAGCCAGGCAGCACAGCTTTATCAGGAAAATAAACGGGAATATGAGAAGAGAGTTTCGGCCATTGTGGAACAAAGCTGGAATGATTCATAATAGACAACTGATCTGTTCATCTTTCTCTTCATCGCTGTGTATAATTTACCTCCCAGTAGAAAGGCTAACAAATTTTAAGTGCCACAAGTTTTAAGGATTCTGCAAAAGAAAAAAGAAAAAAAAGTCCTTCATTTAGAACCTACAAAAGCTTGTGTATCTTGATTAATGTACTTTTTATTGCATGGTGTGAACTAAGTTATTGCTGCATAAATTTGTAATATATCCTGTTTGTATTTTTTTCCAAGTGTATAATGTTGGTGTGGAGTTTTCATGACAGAATATACACATTTTGTAAATCTGTACTTTTTTCAAATATTGAATGCCTTATTTTTGAATTCTTTAGATTTTTAAATTGGAGAAAAGCTTATAAAAGTTTTTTATATATGAATATTACATGTAAAGCTGTTAAAATACATAACTTCAGTGCAAGAGACTTTGTCACTTATTTCCTATCTGTTAGAAGGGGTCAGCAAGTCTCTAGCTCTCCATCAATTGATGGTTTCAGTTCTGATTTCAAAAGAACATGTTTCTATTTTATCAAGAAAGTCTTCAGACTTGATTCTGAATACCAATTACAATCTCCAACTTTATTACATGTAAAGCTGTTAAAATACATAACTTCAGTGCAAGAGACTTTGTCACTTATTTCCTATCTGTTAGAAGGGGTCAGCAAGTCTCTAGCTCTCCATCAATTGATGGTTTCAGTTCTGATTTCAAAAGAACATGTTTCTATTTTATCAAGAAAGTCTTCAGACTTGATTCTGAATACCAATTACAATCTCCAACTTTATTTTGAACGTACCTACATTAGTGTCAATTAATTACAGACGTAACTGGTTTGATCCTGTCAAGCTCTGTGCCGAGGCCACTTGTTCGGTTTCTCCGTGCGTTCCCGTTTAACTGTACCTTTGCTCTCACACTGGGACCTCTACTACGAGCAGAGAACTGATGCAGCTTACTCTGCTGCTTGGTAGCATTTGAAAGGCTTGTGATGAACGAAGAAGGTAAAACCATAAACATTTACCAAAACTTCCTGCTCCGGTATTAGCAAAGAATTGGTTGCATTGGTTTGAGTAAGGCAGATATTTGGAAGGAATCTCGGTGTAATTTAAATATTTGAAAACTACCTTTTAATGCAATTACGTATCTGTTTATTCTGAGAAAATGTTTTAACACCAGGGCCTGCTGAGTTGCTTTCTCTTGTGGAGATTTTTTTTTTTTAAATCTCCTTAAGTTGTATAAGTTGTACTGCATCTTAGTTTACTGGATAAATTTAAAACAGTATTGTAGAAAGCTAATACAAGCTATCTGATGCTTTCAAATAGTATAGAAAATGGAAAATACACAAGTAAATTCTGTTGAACCACCTGTGCAGTCTCTCTAGTGGTTAAAGCAGCTATTTTAGTCCCCAGGTTTCTTGTCGCATCTGTACCAGCCTTGCAGAAATCGCTGACAGTGCCTTGTGTGTTGGGAGGTTGGGTTACAGGTTGGCACTATCTGCAGCTGGTACTCAGCGGCGTTTACACCAGACGAATCCGTGCCAGCGCCGCCCCTTTCAGTCACTGCTTGACAGGTGCAGGGATGAGTGGTCTTGGGACAGTCGTAGAAACGGGGTTCATTCACTCCCTGGAACCACAGTCCAAACAGGAGAGGCCTGGCTCAGGACAGGTACAGAAAGGTACTGCATTGACTCCTCGATCAAACAGGTGTTTACTGAGCACCACCCCCTCGCTTCCTTAGTGCCTTTTGGGTAGAGCTTACCACTCGTTTTTATCCGTATCTTGTCTCTGCCTGAACGACATAAAACTGGACCATGGGAAGCACTGACAGAATTAGGAGAGTTACACCTTGAAAGGGAGTTCAGTGCACTCTTTCCTTAGGCCCGCGCCTACAAGAATCTCATTCTTGGCCAGGTGCAGTGGTGCACTCCTGTCATCCCAGCACTCTGGAGGCTGAGGCAGGAGGATCACGGAGTTCAGTGCCAGCCTGGGCCACACAGTTCAACGCCACCCTAAAACACAGCAAGACTCTGTCTCAACCCACTCCCCGCAAAAAGAATCTCATACCTGTCCACATGTATACCTTTTGGAGAAATTCTTAAGAAGGATCCATCTCTTAGTGATTCTTGTTTCTTCCTTCAGCCTTGGAACCGATTCCTGTTTCTTTGGTTCGGATGTGAAGCTTTAATTTATGTTCTATCATGCAGAAAATTTTGGTTTTGTTTTTTGAGACAGGGTCTCGCTATGTAGTTGAGACTAACGTGGAACTATGTAGCCCACGCTGGTCTTGAACTCACAGTGATCCCCCTGCCTCAGCCTCCCAAGTGCTGGGATTACAAGCATGTGGCACCACGTCCAGCCTTGAAAATGTTCATTTTTACACCCTAATTTTATAAATACATGGTATGGCAAGAAGCTAGAATGAAGATTTATTCAGGCAGAGCATTATATGGTTGAATTTATGTTAAAAGAGTAAGTGTATCTGACACCATTTCATAGTATGTACTTCTAGACTAGAACAGTCTGCTCTGGGCACTGCTCTCAGCACTTTAACATAAATTATTCTCTTCAGCTCACGGTTTATAAGGCACAGGTAGTTATATTACAGGTGAGAAAATAGGCGCAGAGATGAAGTAACTTGCTGTAGAGTTAAACACCTTGTGGAAAGGGTTTCCTTAAGCCCTACCCTTTTAGGCCTGGATATGGGAATATTTTTCCATCTGTGATAGAAAGAACCGACTTAGTAGTAAACCACATTTCCCCCTTCTGGGAAATGTGCTTGAGTCTGTAGGAGTGGCCTACACTCCTCAAACCCACCACCCCCAGCAAATGGGTTTGGTTAATAACTTGGAACTGATACAAATTCTTACATAGGTGGAAGGTAGTTGAGAAAAGAGTTACATTTACTGTCAGTGTGTTCTGTGCTCAGTAAACAAGACGCTCGACCCCTTTTGTTAATTCATTTAGTAGTCTGTTGTACAGCTGGGCCTGGGACCCAAGGCCATACAAATGCTAAGCAAGAGTCAACCATGAGCCACACCTCCAGCTCCGTCAGTACTCAAAACGTAACCTGGGGACTCAGCAGAATGCAGAGTTATGTATAAGTTGGGATTTCTGTGTTGCTCTTTATTTTTGTGGTGCTGAGAATCAAAGCACACTAGGCAGGCACTATACCACGAAGATACATTCCCGTCCTAAAAGGTGCTTTTAGTTTTGCAATTTAGGGATTAAACCCCAGGCCTCCGCACATTCTAGACAACGCTGTACCACTGAGCTGCAGCCTCAGCTTCCCCAAGATGTTTTGAGATCTTACCCAAGGTTTGAGAGGTAGGGTTCAAATTTTGGTACTGATTGTGCTTGGTACAGTGCCTCTCCCAGGGAATCTGGTTATATGGGGATTGTGAATGTAAACCAAAGGTCAGTGGCTGGAATACTATTAAAGGAAAATGAAACAGCGGGGCGCGGTGGCACACCTGTAATCCCAGAACGTGGGAGGCTGAGACGGGAGGATCCTGTGACTTTGAGGCCAGCCTGAACTACACAGCAGGACCCTGGCTCCAAAAAAAGGTAACTGAAATTGTCCATAAGAATAGGCCTATGTCACGATGTTAGCTCTGTTCACTTCCATCTAGTTGGGGAACAATGAGCTGTTGACCTGATGGGGGTCAAGATTAGTGCTTTTCCATTATTAAAGTGTGTAACACAAAGATACTAGAAACCAAGTCTTACAGAAAGTATTTTTTTCCATCCTTTGAGCAAAGAAGAAGTAAATATGTGTGCCATTCTTCAGTAATTCTCCCCACCATTGCTATAGCTTTATAAAGTAATTTTGACATAAATGTTGGTTTTGTTGTTTTGAGACAGGGTCTCGCTGCCGTGTAGTTCAGGCTGGCCTTGAACTCAACTGTGGAGCTCAGGCTCTCCTCAAACGTCTAGCGATTATCCTGCCTCGGCCTCCCAAGTGCCAGGATTACAGACATGCACCACCTGCCCAGCCTATCATGAACTTGTCATGTTTTCTCTGTTCATAGGATGGGTTAGGGATTTATCAGCTTTGTGCCTTTATAAAGCTCACTGGGATGTGACTGTGTCACACATGGTTCAACATAGCTCCTTGATAAATGAAATCAAGAACCCTGGAAGAGCCAGCCACGGGGCACACACCTGTGATTGGTAAGGCTGAGGCAGGAGGATGGCACGTTTTAGACCAGCCTGGGCTAACTAACGAGACACTAAGAAAAGGAATCTGGAAGGACTTGGGCTCCAAGCCCCGCCTGGACAAGAAGAGTGCACATGGAATGACGTTAAAGAACTGTCACTGAGCGACACAGCTTGGTCATTTGGCGTTCTCTCGACTTCGGGACCTAGAAAGCGAGTTGCTGGCTCCTAGACAGAGGTCTGACAGCGATCGACAGTCCCAGTTACATTTGATGGTTGTGGTGTGTGCAGCGTCAAATGCCCCCTTCCACAGGCACAAGGCCCTAGGTTTGGTCCCCTGCAGCACACAGGTATGCAACACTGATAGTAACTGCGTAGTCTGAGGGGAGCTGGCTTGTCCAGAGTCTTACCTGGGAGACTGGTCCTTAATGTGCCCGTGAGTCGGGCACTTGTGAAAAGGGGATCGGAGCCTCTGAAACAACCCGTTAGTCACTCTTCCTGGAACACAGAAATGTCTCTGCTAGGTCTCAAAAGCTTCCAGGATGAAAACAAACATTGGAGCATTTAAGACACACCTCTTAAAAGCAAAGGGCCAGGTGTAGTGGCGCATGCCTATAATCCCAGCACTTGGGAGGCTGAAGCAGGAGGATCACTGTGAGTTTGAGGCCACCCTGAATTACAGTGTGAGAACCTGTCTCAAAATTTTTAAAAATAAACCACCAAAAGGCTTCTCTTAGGCCCTGAGGATAAAGTTACTTTCTCCCCTTCCTCCTTTTCAAACAAGATCTTTTGACAAGAATACCACAGTCCACCAGCTCAAGTGGATAGCAGCACACCTGAAGGAAAGAATGTCAAAGAGGTGTGTGTTCTGGAGACCTGTGGAAAATCACTGTGGACAACAGCTGGAGGCTGGGGATGTAGCTCAGTGGCACCAAACCTGTCTGGCAAGCTCAAGCTCTTGAGTTCAATCCCCAGGACTGTCAAAAATAACGGTTGGAAATGTTACAGTTCTGGGTTAGTGCTGGTAAGTACAGAGGACAAGGATCGAGAACCTGTTTATCTAAAAGACCCTCGAGTTAAAGCCAGCCTGAC